AAAGCCCAGGACCAGGGGATTCACAGCTGAATTCTACCAGACGTACAAAGAAGAGCTGGTACCATTCTTACTGAAACTATTCCAAAAAATTGAGAGGGAGGGACTCTGCCCTAACTCATTCTATGAGGCCAGCATCATCCTGATATCAAAACCTTGGAGAGATACAACAACAACAACAACAAAAACTTCAGGCCAATATCCTTGATAAACATCAATGCAAAAATCTTCAACAATCTAACAGTACATCAAAAGGCTTACCCACCACAATAAAGTAGGCTTTATCCCTGGGAGGCAAGGTTGGTTCAACATATGCAGATCAATAAGTATGATTAATAACAGAAATAGAACTAAAGACAAAACCACATGATTATCTCAATAGATGCAGAAAAGGCTTTCAATAAAATTCAACATCCATTCATGTTAAAAACTCTCAATAAACTAGGTATTGAAGGAACATACCTCAAAATAATAAGACCCATATATGACAAACCCACAGCCAGCATCATACTGAAAGGGTAAAAGCTGGAAGCATCCCCCTTGAAAACCGGCAACAAGACAAGGATGCCCTCTCTCATTACCATTACTCCTATCCAACATAATATTGGAAGCTCTGGCCAGGGTAATCGGGCAAGAGAAAGAAATAAAGGGCATCTGAATAGGAAGAGAGGAAGTAAAGCTATCCCTGTTGCAGGAAGTCAGGGACCCCGAACGGAGGGACTGGCTGAAGCCATGACAGAAGAACATAAATTGTGAAGATTTCATGGACATTTATTAGTTTCCCAAATTAATACTTTTATAATTTCTTACACCTGTCTTTACTGCAATCTCTGAACACAAATTGTGAAGATTTCATGGACACTTATCACCTCCCCAATCAATAACCTTATGATTTCCTATACCTTTCTTTACTTTAATATCTTAATCTCGTCATCTTTGTAAGCTGAGGAGGATGTATGCCACCTCAGGACCCTGTGATGATTGTGTTGGCTGCACAAATGGTTTGTAGAGCACGTGTGTTTGAACAATATGAAATCTGGGCACCTTGAAAAAAGAACAGGATAACAGCAATGTTCAGGGAACAAGGGAGATAACCTTAAACTCTGACTGTCGGTGAGCTGGGCATAACAGAGCCATATTTCTCTTCTTTCAAAAGCAAATAGGAGAAATATCGCTCAATTCTTTTTCTCAGCAAGGAACATCCCTAAGAAAGAGAATGTGCCCCTGAGGGTAGGCCTCTGAAATGGCTTCTTTGGGGGTGGCTGTCTTTTATGGTTGAAGACGAAGGAATGAAATAAGCCCCGGTCTCCTGTAGCACTCCCAGGCTTATTAGGACGAGGAAATTCCCGCCTAATAAATTTTGGTCAGACTGGTTGTCTGTTCTCAAATCCTGTCTCCTGATAAGATGTTATCAATGACAATGCGTACACAAAACTTCATTAGCAATTTTAATTTTGCCCTGTCATGTGGTCCTGTGATCTCGCCCTGCCTCCATTTGCTTTGTGATATTTTATTACCTTGTGAAGCATGTGATCTCTTGACTCACACCCTATGCATACACTCCCTCCCCTTTTGAAAATCGCTAATAAAATCTTGCTGGTTTTACGGCTCAGGGAGCATCACAGAACCTGCCAACATGTGATGTCTCCCCTGGACACCCAGCTTTAAAATCTCTCTCTTTTGTACTCTTTCCCTTTATTTCTCAGAGCAGCTGACGCTTAGGCAAATAGAAAATAACCCATGTTGAATATCGGGGGTGGGTTTTTCCCCGATAATCCCTGTTTGCAGATGACATGCTCCTATAACTAGAAAACGCCATCGTCTCAGCCCAAAAGCTTCTTAAGCTGATAGGCAACTTTTGTAAAGTCTCAGGATACAAAATCAATGTGCAAAAATCACTAGCATTCCTATACACCAACAACAGTCAAGCCAAGAGCCAAATCAGAAATGGACTCCCATTCACAATTGCCACACAAAGAATAAAACACCTAGGAATACAGCTAACTAGGGAAGCGAAATTTTTCTTAAAAAATACAATAGAACTACAAATAAAAAAGGAGAACTGCTCAAATAAATCAGACAGCACAAACAAATGGAAAGACATTCCACGTTCATGGATAGGAAACATCAATATCATTAAAATGGTCATACTGCCCAAAGCAATTTATGGGTCATACTGCCCAATGCTATGCCTATTAAACTATTATTGACATTTTTCACAGAACTAGAAAAAATATTTTAGAATTCACATGGAACCAAAAAATAGCCAAGGCAATCCTAAGCAAAATGAACAAAGTTGGAGGCAAACCATACTACAGGGCTACAGTAGCCAAAACCGCATGGTACTGGCACAAAACAGGCACACAGACCAATGGAACAGACTAGAGAAGCCAGAAATAAGACCACATACCTACAATTATATGATCTTTGACAAACCTGACAAAAACAAGCAATGGGGAAAGGTTCCCTATTCAACAAATTGTGTTCCCATAAGTGGTTGCCATATGCAGAAGATTAAAACTGGACTCTTTCCTTACATCATATAGAAAAATTAACTCAAGATGGATTAAAGACTTAAATGTAAAACTCAAAACTATAAAAACCCTGGAAGACAACCTATGCAATATCATTTATGATGTAGGCACATGCAAATATTTCATGACGAAGATGCCAAAAGCAATTGCAACAAAAGCTTCTGCACAACAAAAGAAACTATCAATAGACAGACAACCTACAAAATGGGAAATACATTTTTGCAAACCATGCATCTGATAACAGTCTAATATCCAGCATCTATAAGGAACTTAAATAAACATACAAGAGAAAAACAAACCCCATTAAAAAGTGGGCAAAGGATGTTAACAGACACTTTTCAATAGAAGACATACATGTGGCCAACAATCATATATTTAAAAAATGCTCAACATCACTGATCATTAGAGAACTGTAAATCAAAACCACAAGGAGATACCATCTCATGCCAGTCAGAATGGCTATAATTAAAAAGTGAAAAAATAACAGATGATGTCAAGGTTGTGGAGAAAAATGTATACTTGTACACTGTTGCTGGGAGTATAAATTAGTTCAGCCATTGTGGAAGACAGTGTGGCAATTCCTCAAAGACTTAAAGACAGAAATACCATTTGACCTGCCAATCCCATTACTGTGTATATACCTGATGGAATAGAAATTGTTCAATTATAAAGACACATGCACAGGTATGTTCATTGCAATACTATTCACAGTAGTAAAGACATGGAACCAACCTAAATGCCCATCAATCATAGACTGGATAAATAAAATGTGGTATATATACAGCATGGAATACTATGCAGCCATAGAAAAGAAAGAGATCATGTCCTTTGCAGGGACATGGATGGAGCTGGAGGCCATTATCCTTAGCAAACTAATGCAGGGACAGAAAACCAAATATCGCATGTTCTCACTTGCAAGTGGGAGTTAAATGATGAGAACACATGGATACAGAGGGGAACAACACACACTGGGACCTGCCAGAGGGTGTAGGGTGGGAGGATGGAGAGGACCAGGAAAAATACCTAATGGGTACTACGCTCAATATCTGGGTGATGAAATAATCTGTAGAACAAACACCCATGACATAGTTTAGCTACGTAACACACCTGCACATGTACCCCTGAACTTAAAAGTTAAAAAAAATACGCTGGAAGTTACGCATCACATTCAGGATAGGAGTACCCCTGGGGAAGAGGGAAGGTGAATGGAAATGGAGTGAAGGTCAAGGAAACCTCAATTTTTTTTCTGTAAAGTTTTCATTCCTTAAAAGAAAGACAAAGTAAATATACCTAAATGTTAACAACATTGAAATCTGAGTAGTGGAAACACTGGTGTTTATTATATTTAATGCCAGGGACATTGTAGCTACTCAATTAATATTATTTGTTGAATGAGTATGCTTTTCTGTTTTAAAAGTTTCTCCAACAAGCATACACAATTTTCAAATTAACAGAAAGTGCTACAAGAGCAAAGAAAAGGGAATGAAGTGAGGTGGGGAAGGCTTGAGAAATCCCTGTGGAAAGAGTGATTTCTGAACTATATAAATCTGTACCACCATACATGGGGTACAAGCTAAAGACATAGTTCTACCTCCACCTCACCTTAATGCTCTAAGGTTCTGGATAAGCATCCAGAAAATGATCCTGAACACTTAGTCCTTTCAAGTAAATACCGGATCCTCAATTTTCTCTTCCAATAGACACTGGGTGGTGCTATTGTTCAAAAATTCCTCCCTGTCACAGATTTATTACTTCAATCTATAGACATCTCCACAACCAATGTGTCTTGTGGGCCAAAGTGCTAGGGATTGGGGATATAAAGGTGAATAGCTTCAGTTGTTCTGTGATTATCAACTGATTGCTATCGGGTTCCGTGGCCGAGAAAGTTGCAAATGTGACTGCTACATTTTGTAGGAGAGCACTACTGTCACAGAAATGTCCAGTTGTAGGGGTGAATGGCCCTGAACCACCCACCCTCATCATAAGCACCCCTACTCCACGACCTGGCTAAGGATTAGAGCAGACAACACCGAGCCCCACTTCCAACCTACTGTTAGGTTTTCATAGCGTCCTTAGGCCCCAGTGGCTATAAAAAGCCCAGAGAGCCTAAATACCGGTCATTCGGCTTGGACTTCAGTGTTCCAGATGTTCTAAGCTCACTGGGCAAGATGTGTCTGCTTAACGCAGAGGTCTCTGTTATTGTGAAAGAGTGAGGGTACTTAGGATTAAGGGAATGTGGACCCTCAGGACTAAAGCAGTGGGAGAGGCCTGGGAGGTGGAGCCTGGGGAGGCGGGGTCTGCTCTGATGTCACCAAGCCCCTGATCATAGAGGAGATGGTGGGCAGGCTCTGGAGGCTGAAGCGGAGGAGGGGAAGGAAACGAGTCCGGAAACCCTGGGCCAATCAGACAGGGCTGGGGCGGGGTCTGCTGCAGGGCTTAGCGCTGCAGGCCTCTGGCGGGAACGCTAACCTGGTCCAGAGCGATCCTGGGTCTCAGCCCCGCGGACAGCTTTTCACGAGTCTTCAAGCCTTCAGGTGAGGACCTGCGGCCTCGCAGGAGCCAGAGGACCATGGGAACAGGGAGGCCTCGGGGTCGCGAGGCGGAGGATGCCGCGCCTTCGGGAGCCAGAGGGGCCGGGGTTGGGACTGGCGCTTTGCGTCTGCGCCGCCGCCAGGCCTGGCGAGTCTGCGCCTTTGCCTGCCCCGGGCGCCGCCTTCTGCGCGCGACGTCCAGCCCTGCAGGGTGCAGGTCCTGGGAACAAGACCCAGGGATAGGGGGTGGGGACAGACCCTTAAAGCGACCGGTCCGCGGTAGCTGCATGTCGGAGGCTTTGAGGATGAGGAGTTTGGGGGCCGCCCGGAATGGGCCCTCTGGGGCTGGGCCCTCGTTCCCTCCCATCCCGTGGCCGTTACACTGGGCGCCAGACAACGCTAATAGTTATTTGAAAAGGTATGCAAGCTGCTCCTGACAGACTGGCCTATGCACCTGGCCCTGCTGTTATTTATTTGTTAGTTCCAGTTTCCCAGCTCGGAGCTTGGCATCTGATCGCTTGGCAGAGGAGGGTCTTAGGGTAACCTCGATGGAATGGAGGCATGTTCGGCACTTCTGGCTGCTTGGGGGCCTCTCCATTCTACTCCAAGCACTAGACATAGTATCTTACTCCACCAGGGTGGGGCCGGGCTCGCTTATGAGAGCTCTGCCTTCCGATTTCTGGGATACCCTATTGTCTCTTTTGGACAAACTCGGGATGCTCACAGGGCACCAGGCATTTCGTCAGGTCCATAGCCACGGACTTCTGAGTCTCATCTCCTTGCCTGTCTCTTTGCAGAGAAAACATGGTGAAAGAAGACTCACTTCTTTTTGGTTTATCCCATTCTGCTGAAGTCATGGGTCTGATCCTAGTTAGCTATCTCTTCTTACAACGTTTACAAACCAGTGCCACAAGGAGCTATGAGGCGTGCACTGTAGTGCCTTAATGTACTATCGTCTTTGGGGATTTAAAATAGAAAGAAATTAGTACAACTTATGCCACTCTGTTTTGTGTGCTGCCCCCCATCTCTCAAGAAAAATGCCAAAAACCAAAAGTAATTTAATAGAAAGTGAAGATGCTCAAATAGTGCTATCTCCTGTTACAAAATAATTACTTGTTTAAAGTCAGTCTTTACTTTTTCTTCTATCCCTATCTGCTCTTGTGCTTCTATCACCTCCGTTTTACTCTTGCTATGATTTTAAGAGTCCGACATACTGGCTCTGGGTTTCTAGGGCACCTTGGTTTATAGTGCGTTCTGATGTAGTGGCATTTACTGCCTATCAGAAATGGGCTAATGATGTAGAGTTGAAATTATTTTAACAAAAATATAACTTTTTTTTTTAATAGACACTTGCTCTGTTGCCCAGGCTGGAGTGCAGTGGTGCAATCTCGGCTCACTGCCACCTCAGTCTCCCAGGTTCAAGCAATTCTCCTGCCTCAGCCTCCCGAGTAACTGGGATTACAGGCGCCCGCCACCATGCCTGGCTAATTTTTGTATTTTTAGTAGAGATGGGGTTTCACCATATTGGCCAGGCTGATCTTGAATTCCTGACCTCCAGTGATCCGCCCACCTCGGCCTCCCAAAGTGCTGGGATTTTCTAAGATGTGTTGCTGTTTTTCTGTTGAAAATAAGCAGGTAGAATATACACTGATAGGAAATGTGAATTTTTTTGCTTGTGACCCGTTAGTCCGAAGATAGTTCTGCCATGTACGTTTTCTTAAAAATGTTTTTTTCTTTTCAGGCTTTCTTCTAGTCAAGATGAGTGATAAACCAGACTTGTCGGAAGTGGAGAAGTTTGACAGGTCAAAACTGAAGAAAACTAATACTGAAGAAAAAAATACTCTTCCTTCAAAGGAAAGTAAGTCATGGGGGGTTCTGATGGAAACAAACAATAGAGAAAGTTAATAGGTTCACTAAATAAACCTATCTTCTAGTAAATTTTTGATGCAAAGTAAGCAATAATTAGAGTACCATGGTATTTAATGCAGCAGTTAAAACTAGCAAATAGTTTTCTTCTGGTTCTCATATGATGGGGGCCCAGTAGTGATAGGGGAATAAAAAACTAGTTTCTTGTTAGAAAATTATTAAAACCACGTTAAAACCAATCTTGGGATATTGGATGTAGCACTAAAAAACACTTAGTTTTTGTCTACTTTTGGGTATTTGGCATTTTTCTGCATTTAGAAATTTGAGTCCATAATATCCCTAAATAACCCTGTAGACTGCAGTTTTGGCTTTCTATATCTGATGACAAGATAAGGTGAGACAACAAATTTAGATCTTAGTGTACTCAAAGCTCTCAGATTCAAGGGATGGGTTTTGCCCTCTGGAGTTAGACCCTGCTGGAGAAACTCTAAGCATATTCACAAAGGCTGAGGGGCACTTTTTGTTATGTCACTTTTATTTGAGAGTTGCAACATTAGTTAAAATTATTTGAAAGTATCTAATTTCCTAACTGTGTAGTGATAGATAAATCTGAAGAAAGTGCTTCACTTACTCCTCTGTCTTGAATAGTCTAAAAAAATGACAACAGCATTTGGAAAAACAAACCCTACAGTTGATGTAGTTTCTAATGAATGTTCAGGTGGTTAACATACACACGCATGCATACACACACCCCACTGTGAGTTTTGTGGTTAATGCCTTGGCATTCTAAATTTAAAGCTTATATAGCAGCCTTCAATGATTTACAAAGAGCTCTTTTGGAAGAAGCTGAACTTAGTCTTAGGAAAATTCTTTTGTAATGTTTTGTTTCTTTTATCCCCCCAGCTATCCAGCAGGAGAAAGAGTGTGTTCAAACATCGTAAAATGGGAATCTCCTCCAAAGAGCAGATTTCAACATTGTGTGACAGTCTTGGTTTTGGGTGTGTTTTTTTGTAACCCTATGTGTTTGTAAAGATTTCAGGCATCTTCTGATTTCTTCTCAACTGTATTCCCTGGCTAAGAGGTCAGGGGTAGTGAATGTTTCCTTAAGTTCCTTTTTAAACTTCCCATTGGTATGTAAATTCCAAATGGCAGATGCTGTCAATAATCTTGCCATTGATGACCTTTGTGTACGTAGTCCTTGCACCTCATACAGGATAAGCCAATTTTAACTTTCTACAATGGATGCCTCAATTGTTTTGTAATCTTCATGAGGTTGCATCCTTTTGCAGCTTCTTATAGTTTATTTTCACTTCCAATGTAGCAATAAAATAATAAATATAATAGTTATCGTGTGACTGTTGTGGTTCATTCTGGTAGGTAGTTTAAGGAATGAAAAGTACACAAGGCTACCCTTTCAGCCGAACAAAATGGTTGAAGGAAAACTTTTAGCAGATTATTCCTGGGGGGAAATACTCAATTCCGTCCAGGTCCAGTGAGTCCTGACTTGGGGATGGTAGGTGCTTTTTCTTTAGAGTTGGAATCACAGAGTTAAGAGAACCTTGGGAGAGAAGGTCATGTGGACTAATCTTATTGCAGAATGAAGCAATGAAAACAGGGTCTGATGTGATCTGCTCAAGGTGAATAAGGGCTGGAATTCAAGCTTGGCTCTCTTTCCTTCTGGAAAGTATTTTTCAGCTTAATGGGAGTTAACATCCAAGACTGAACTTGGATGGAGAAAGGGGCAGGAGGCACTTCCTAACAAACACCATATTAAGCACATCACATCTTCTAATGACCTGTAGCACCGAACTTCTGGTATGATTTTTTCTACTGAACAGAATTTGCTGTTTTATGAACTAAACATTTCTAGTGTTCATGGTGAGCATAAATGCTATGGATGAATTTTGTCACCTGTGACCCCCCAATTCATATGTTGAAACCCTAATCCTTAGTGTTATTGTATCTTTAGATAGCTTGTTTCAGAGGTAATTTAGGTTATGAAGTGATAACAGTCAGGGCCTCATCCAATAGGACCATGGCCTTCTAAGGAGAGAGAGACCAGTCTGCAACTTGCGAGGACACAGCAAGAAGGTGGCTATCTACAAGCCAGGAAGAGAGCCCTCACCAGAATGTGACTGTGCTGGACATCGACTTGAGATTTCTAGACTCTAGAACTGTGAGCAAGTAAATTTTTGTTGTTTAAGTCATCTAGTCTATAGTATTTTGTTATGGTAGCCTGAGCTAATACAATAAGGAATATGTATAAATGCATGAATTTTAATTCCTGCCTTTAAACAATACTTTTATACCTTTTTAAAAATTATTATTTTATTTTATTTTTATGAGACAGGGTCTTGCTCTGTCACCTAGGCTAGAGTGCAGTGGTACAATCATAGCTCATCGCAGCCTTGACCTCCTGGGCTCAAGCAATCCTCCCACTTCAGCCTCCCTAGTCCCTGGGACTACAGGCACATGCCGCCACACCCAGCTAATCTTTCTGATTATTAGTAGAGATGAGATCTCGCTATGTTGCCCAGGCTGGTCTTGAACTCCTGGGCTCAAGCAATCTGCCTGTCTCAGCCTCCCAAAGTGCTGGGATTACAGGCATGAGCTACCATGCCCAGCCTAATTTAATCATGTGTATAAAAACAAATCACCTATAATTCCACCAATTAGAAGTATTAACCATCCAGACTTGTGATCTATTAATGTACATATCTTCCTACAAAGACAGATTATACCGTTCATACCTATTTTCAACTTCAAGTATTATCTTACCTCCCCCTTTCTAAGGGCTCACATTCTTAAATAATCAGTGGGATTACATGAAGTGGAAGCTGTTTTCTCTGCTATAGCTTAAAGTTTCAAAATCAAAACAATAGGTAGGTCAATTTTGATCAAGTGCTGATGAGGTGACACAGTCACAGGGCTTAGTGTAGCCAGAGAATTTGAACCTTGGAAGTAACCATGTTAGTCAACAGTACCTTATCTTCTGCCTGAGGCAATTGTCCAGTAGAGTTGCTCAGCTCCTTGCAGTTCTCTGGAAGTGCACCTTTGTTTTACACTGAAGTCTGCACCTCCATGGTATACAAACTGTTCACAGGAATAGTATGCATTTCAATGGGAATTCCTTGATACGGATCATCTTGACAAAAGTTAATGAGGGTATCCTTGATCTGCTACTACTGTTTTTCTTGGTATGATGCTTATAATTTGTTAGTTACATGATGCACGCCAATTCCTTTAGTCCCTTCTTTCAGCAAAACACACCATTAGATCACCGATGCTCACTTATTGCCCTTTACCTGCTTTCAGCCACAGAGACGGATAATCAGATGTATTCATTTCCCATTCCAGTCTTCAACATCAAGACCTATTTCTCCTTTCCCTTGCCTATAATTTGTCTATGTCAGTCACCCTTACACTTCTAGTCAGCATTCCACAGCTGGATTATGGTGCATTTTAAACATTTCACTACGCTCCAGTATACTTTCTGAATTTACAAAGGCAACACACAAGAAGAAAGTCCTAATCATTCAATGTTTACAAAAATGACTACTCACGAGACTAAGTGCTTAGAACTGTATGCAAGAATTAACATTCTTTAGTGGGACATTTTTATGTCCTATGGAAAACTTCTGGCAAGTTCATGCAGCACCAATGAGCCTGATAGAAATAAAGTGATTGAGGGAAATGCAGTGTTCTTCAAACAACTCCACAGTTACTTTTTATCCCTGCAAAGGCAAACAGCTCTGAAAAGAGGCTTCAGCTTCCATAATTTTGTTAGGGATGTATAAGACAGTCTCAAAGCACCACACGGGGACATTTGTTGCAGTTAATTTTGTGAAAGATTTTTTCAGTCACTTTTGGAAGCAAACTTTTTTATTCTTTTTGAAATACTTTTATGAGATTTTCTTAAAATTCAAAAATAAGTACTAATCCTGATAAGGTGGGTCAATGGCCCTAAATCCTTAGTTTATCTATTTGAAGGAGAGCTGTGGAGGTATTATGGCCCAGCACAGTAAGTCAGCATTGGGCCTAAAATGAAAAACAGACTTCTCCATGGCCTCCTTGATCAGCCATCGGCCCCGTCTTTCCACCTGCACTGTTCACGGAAGCTCTCTGGAGCATCCGGCATTGCCCACATTCTTTCTCTTGAGCACTTGTGGCTCTGCCACAGGTGAAATCCTCTGTGGTTGGTCTCTCCTGCCAGGGATTTATCACGATATTATGAGCTGCAGAAGGATTTTGTTTTTGTAGATTATCCAGGGTTCGTTTTATCATTTGCTTGAATTGACATCCTAATCAGGTGTTGGCATCCGACTCGGAAGGGGAATTTACAACATATTTTGAAAGTACTGATAACAACAATACAATAGACAAACACAGGGCTTTCAAGCAACTCATCATACGTTTCCAAGGATTGAAATCCCAGAATATGTGTTCTCTCCACAGAAGTGAGTGCTAGATATAAATAATACTTTTTAAAAAGTAACTGGAAAGTCACAACTGTTTTGAACCTCAGCAATATAGATATAGAAAAACAAACACACACCCAATGGGCCAAGAAGACAACACAATGTAAATTATATTGTATTAACATTCCCAGGAATATTAACATTGACATCCCAGGAGGAGAAAGGAGGGATCATCTTAGTTTTCTTAGTGCCTCATCATCTTTTTCTTAGTCATTGCAAGGAGCAAGTGACATGCCCCACTACCAGCTACAGATTTATATCTCCAAATCAACACATTTGAAAGCAAGTGAGCAAAAAGTCACAGAGCAAGCAAAAATCATTCTCTGTCCGTCTTCCCTGTAATAGGGCAACACCAAGGAACACACATTCTGTTTCAGTCCCAGTCATCTTCCTTGCTTGTGCCAATGGCTGTGGTTCATGGGCTGCAGGTTCCTCTGTGGTGAAATGAGTGGAGACTGGGGCTTGGCATTCTCTTTGGACACCCCCATCAGCCAATGATGCACAATTGCAACTGATAAAAGTTTATGTTTTTAAAAAACAGGAGTTTATGGACAAGAAAGGAATAGAATTGGATAATTCTGAAGCAATCAGAACAGTAGTTTCCATGCTCAAGGACCCGGAATAATGAGATGCTTCCTGAAAATTCTACTTGGCTATTTCCTGTACTATCTTTGCGTCCTAATTTGTGTATTGAAAAGAATTCTGTGTATGAGACATGTTCGAAAAACGGGATTAAATAGGAAAGATGTTTATATCAAGAATTTCTTTTTATATGTTCCCAAATCGAGCATAACGGACATGTGGACTAGTCCACCAAATGCTCTGGGGAGAATAAGAGTGAAAATATTAAGGGACTTAGCTACAAAAATAACGTTGATCTGACTAATCCTTATAAACAGAGGCCTGGGAATCAAACTAACAGAAATGAGCATGTAGCGAAGTGATTACATTCAAAATTATCAAATGAAATCAATTATTTCCTGTGGAATAAACTGCACCACAGATATAAATTGAAGCAGAGTTGACAATGTTTAGTTCTTGGGGAAAGAATGCATGAAAAATCAGTGGGATACCACAGGTCATGTGCCCCTTAAATCGCAAGGATGTTGCCCTTGTGCACATGATGCGTAATTATAATATTTAGTTCTTTCTTATTTCATTGATTGTTCAATGTCTTCATAGTCTTCACTGTATCCGTTTCATAAGTCATTGTTTTTCATTCACCCCTATATGTCAGTGTATTGCATTACTATTCCCTGTTGGCACTTCCAGTCGTACTCTTTTGGTCACTTTACATCTCTTTAAATGACATTCTTCGGAAATTTCTTCAACAAGGTTTCTGTTGATGTCAACACTAGGAGTTTTCAATTTTTCTCCCGTCTCATTGTTTCTGGGTTAGGTTCTGCAGGAAGCTGACACCGTGATGGAGTTTAGTGTGCGGGACACTTATCCCGGATCAGCAGCTGAGGAACGGACAGGAAGGAGGCAGGAATGGGCAGAGGAAGAAGTTCATGCTTACTTCAGGCCAAACAAAAGCCTCTTGGGATACCCAGAGAAGCTCTGAAGATAAAATGGCTCATCAGAGTTATTCAGCATTGGGAATAGTTAGCTAGATCTTTATACCCCTTCCTGGATTTGTCTTTGCGTGTGGTCCACCTCGGGAAGGGCATGAGGTAGAGCAAGGCAGCTCAGGTAATGTCCTCAGGGACAAGTGGCTGTTGACTGGCAACTACCTGCACTCTGAGCCTCACAAACATCAAATCCATCCTCGACAGGGATTCTGGGTGGTTCTCCTGCCTGTCTATCACAGCCTTCTTATTATTTCATGATACTTTAGCTAGGAATGCAACTTTATGTTGACAGTA